CACACACACACACACACACTCACACACACACTCTCTCACACTCACACACACACACACACACACACACACACACACACACACACATTCTCTCAGTGTATTGATTCTGCTGACTCCTCCCCTTTCTAAACTCTGTACCGTTCCTAATTGTGCAACTCTAAAAAGGGGGAGGATTGTTGGGTGGATGGAAAAATGGCCTGAAACGGGACAGTCATGGTTTTTGATGAGTCAGTGTCTGTCTCTCTCTCTCTCTCTCTCTCTCTCTCTCAGTACCGTCCCTCATACGTGACTCCTCAGCAGTATCAGGTGGCCAGTTCTCCTGGTTTCTATCCCGGCACAAGTCCAGCTGATTACGGTACGTATGGAGACAGGAAGCAGTAAATCCACATTCGTGACCCTGCAGCACAAAAGCAGTGTTGAGTCGCTGGGGTATATTTGTAGCAATAGCCAACAATACATTGTATGGGTCAAAATTATCAATTTTTCTTTTATGCCAAAAATCATTAGGATATTAAGATCATGTTCCATGAAGATATTTTGTAAATGTTCTACCGTAAATATATCAAAACTTAATTTTTGATTAGTAATATGCATTGCTAAGAACTTCATTTGAACAACTTTAAAGATGATTTTCTCAATATTTAGATTTTTTTGCACCCTCAGATTCCAGATTTTCAAATAGTTGTATCTCAGCCAAATATTGTCCGATCCTAACAAACCATACATCAATGGAAAGCTCATTTATTCAGCTTTCAGATGATGCATACATCTCAATTTTGAAAAAATTGACCCTTATGACTGGTTTTGTGCTCCAGGGTCACATACACGTATATCTTTAGAAGACTTGAAATTAACTACTTTTACCATTTTTGGAGCCTCGACAGTTGTGATCACTGTGAGCTGTTGTAATATGGAGAAGAGCTGCTGTATTTAATCGCAAACTGATTTGAAATGACAAAGAAAAGGAGGAAAAATGACCAGAATCTTACATTTTGTTTTCTTTAAGGACTTTAAAGCGACTTTATTGTACAGACCACCAGTGCAGATGAGAGCAGCGGCTGTTTTTGGAGGGTGTGCAGTTCAAATATAAATTTGGCTGTGACAGATTGTGTGTTTGCTAAAGGAGGGTGCTGTATGTGTGTGTGCGTGTTTAAGAATCACTGACAGCTCGTCATTTTGAGAAAGTCTGAGACGTTTGTGCCATTTTTGTTTCCAGCTGGGGCGTATTACCCCACCCAGCCCCAGTTCACGCCCCCCGTTGCCCCGGCACCCGTCATCATTAACCCCGCCCCCCAGCAGCAACAGGCCCCGCCCCCTCAACAGCAGCAAGCTCCGCCCAGACGGGAACGCAAGCAGGTAATGCGTCCATCCGTCTTCTGCATCCGGAGCTTCAGTGCTTTCTGTAGCCTTTGTTTAAATGTGTTTTTCTCCTAATATTTCTTTATCTAATGCACATCTCTCACTCTACCAGAAATTAAGCAGTCAAGGTTGTTAATTTGACATTTTTATCTGCAATTTATTTCTGAATTAACAATAATTTGCTCTAGTGAGCCGTGTGTCATTTATCCAGATTAATTTGTTAATTTCATGCCTCTTTAATTGACACAAACTGAACAAATCAGGGCTTTGAAGTGACTGGGCAATGTGTTTCTTTCCTTTTTTCTTTGTTTCTTTTCTCTTATATTTAATTAATTTGATTTAATTTCTTTCTTTTATTTAATTTGTCTTTTTTTTCTTTCTTCACCTGAATATTTTTACTTAACATTTTCGACATAATTAGTTTTCCCGAGGCCGTGTTTGGATGGTGGTTTCTTGTGTTTTGGATGCATTTTAATAGCTCTTAGTTTGGTTTGTCCTAGCGATGCACTGAAATATCAGCAACCAAAAATATTTGGCCAAAAATAAATTTTTGGTTTCTGCAAGGGATGATATGTCTAAAATTTGTATCACGATATATCTCTTAATGTTCAGAAGCAAATAATAATAGATATTACTGAATTCACAGCAAATGCAACAAACTTAGTAATGCATTTTTGTCACATAGAAATGCACTTGACAGTAAAGCATTGATTTTGAATAAATTCTGTCATCATTTCCTCGCCCTCATGTCGCTCCAAACGTGTATGACTTGCTTTCTTCTGTGGAACCCAAAAACGATATTTGGTAGAATGTTACCAAACCATTTTGGTAACCCTTGATTTCTACTGTATGGACAAATTTCTGGCTGCGCTGCCAAAGATACAAATATTTCATCTTTGTGTAAGCGGCAGCGGCAGCTTTAACCAATTACTGAACAGAAGTGTAAAAACATCTATGTATGGGAAACACTATATCGAAATATCAGAACTGTGTTTAAAAATCATATCATCGTTATTGAAAAAAATATATACCGCGATATATATTGATATTGAATTGTTGTCCAGCCCTAATTACATATTAATTATATTTTTACTTAACCTGTTGTTGTCACTATCCAATGTATGTTTGAATAAAAACGTTTTCTTTAAAAGAATTATTATAGCCACTGTTTAAATGTTTATATTTTATAGCCTATATGATTTGGAGTAGAAATTGATATAAAAACACCCTATGTGCAATTAAAATTATATACAGCCGTTTTCATTTAAGTGTTGATTATTGAAATAACTATTAATAAACTGATTCATTAATGAATTGGCTTTCAGGTGTTCAGTATAATATTAATCGCTAGTTTTGTCGTGCTCAGACCTGATTGTCAAGTTGAGCTCATAAGGTGCTAAATCAAGGCGTTGGGTTTTTAAAAAGCTGCTGAGAGGATGTTTTCAAACGCAGTGATACAATCTGTATTTAAATTCCGCATCAAAGACGGAACCTCAGAATTAGAACTTCTGTCGCCGTGGTAACCGCGTTGCGTGCAACCCTTGGGTTCTAAAAGTAAAATTCCTGTTCATTTTCACCAAATGGATGCTTGACATGAACTTACATCTTGTTTATCAATGATATATACTTCTGTTGAAGCCGTCACTCTGCGTTGTTACATCTTCATTTTTAAAAGAATCACATTTAGTGCAGTTTCTGCTGAAGAACTGCGTTACCCATTGATTCTGTGGAGAAACATCCATCAATCATACAGCATTAATGGTTTAGTATGTGATGTGTTAGTGTGCTGTTATCAGGCTTTCTGGGAGCGCACAGCTGGACCGGTGGACTTTGAGTCCTCGAGTCTCGCTCTTGGCCGTCAGTGAGGTTTCATTTCAGAGGAATAGAAACTGAGAAGGAAGAGAGGAGGAGAAAAGAGAGAGAGAGAGAGGACTGCAGGGTTGGGTGTGAGGCATTACTAAGTCATTCATTAATTATTCATTACAGTTACTCCTACAGTTAAGACATTTAAAACAACAGTAGATTTAACATCTAATGTTAAAACGTATGTTTTTAATGTAACCTTCTCCCTTTAAATGCTTCGGTCAGTTCAAGAATAATGTATGCAATTTTATATTATTCCTTTGAAAGAATTAAATGAGCAGTTTCGTGTCTTTATTTTGTTTAACTGGTCAAGGCTGGTGTGGGATTTACTGTTGAAAATAATTAGTAATAAGTAATTCAGTAATCTAATTAATCTGTTGAAGATGTAATTAGTAACTAGTAATTAATTTTTAAAAATGTTTTGAGTAAGTGACCCGACACTGACTGCTACCAGGATTATTACCTAATATTAAACTATTAAAAACATTTGGTTAATTTAAATAAAGCTGAAATAAATTGAAATATTAGATGAAAAACTTAATGTGAACAAAAATTAGGATTCATTGAAACGTTAATTTTTAAAATCGAGTTAATGCTGTTTTATAAGAAAATTTTGTTTTTATTTCTATTTTATTTTTATGGTATCCTCAAACAATTCTGAGCTGATAACTGATAATCTGCTTTATTTTTATTTTTTTTAATAAGTAGTAGAAAAATTAGGAGTAAGTGTCTTCTGCTCACCAAGATTGCATTTATTTGATGACAAATACAGTAAAAATTGTGAAATATTATTGCAATTTAAAATAACTGTTTTCTGTGTGAATCTCTGTTAAACTGTAATGTATTTCTGTGATGCGCAGCTGTATTTTCAGCATCATTCCTCCAGACTTCAGTGCCACATGATCTTCAGAAATCATTCTAATACGCTGCTCGAGAAACATTTCTGATTATTAGCAATGTTCAAAATTCAGTTCATGTGGAAACTGTGATGCATTTTATTTTTCAGGATTCACAGACGAATCGAAAGTTCAAAAGAACAGCATTTATTTGAAATGGAAATCTTTTGAAACATTGCATATGTCTTCAGGGTCACTTTTGATCAACTTAATGCGGTCTTGCCGAATAAAAAGTCCCCAACTCTTAGTCAGTGTCTCTGTAAAGTAATTCGGTGCAGTTCTGTCGCTCCACGTGGCTCTCAGTCTCCACCCAATCTCTCTCTCTCTCTCTCTCTCTCT